CTGCACTGTGAGGCTGATGTGCGAACCAGTTGGCTGCCCCATACCGACATATCAGTTTGCTGTTGCTTAGGTTTAGCATTTTAGTGCAAAGCAGAGGGGAAGGAGCTTCATTTAATCAGGACATAGCCTTGTCTAAAAGCAATAAGTGATTTGCCACCAAAATATACAGTAGCATCAATAAGCAATTATTTTTAATAAATATTTTGCCGGTAGCTGTGAAAAGGTTTTGGTCTGGTGCACCCATTGCCCCCCCCCCAACCCCACCTCCTCCCCACTTTCTCATATAATTGAGAAAAATGATTCTCTTTTGTTTTTGAGAAAAAGGTTCATTTTTACCATTTAATTACTCATCTAAATGTGACACAATACCAGCGTTCCATATCACTGTTATACCCCGAGGACGAAAATGTCTGGTCTACCATTTTACAACGTGCAAAGTTAGCATTACTTTTGAAATGTTCTTCAACTTTTAAACATTTGTGGGGGGAGGGGTGGGGTGGATTCCATGGTTATTAAACAGACTCACATAAGACTAACTGACATCATGCCGGGTATATCTCCAGTGAGAAGAAATGTAATGCAGCTCAACGCCGCAGAGAAGCGAGCCTTTGTCAACGCGCTGGACCAGGCCAAGCGCACGGTGCACCCGGATCTCGTGATCGCCACCCGGCGCCACGCCGAGATCCTCGGGCCTGACGGCAACAGCACACGCTTCGAGAACATCTCCATCTACAACTACTTTGTGTGGAGCCATTACTACTCCGTCGGCAAGACCTTCCTTGGCGCCGGCCAAGCCAGTTTCGGAGGCGTGGATTTCTCCCACGAGGGTCCCGGGTTCGTCACTTGGCACCGGTACCACCTGCTCCAGCTGGAGAGAGACATGCAAGTAAGCCAACGGGCCACATTCGTATGTATTGGTTCCACTTTGACGGAAAATGGGTTTCACCACTCAGGGAAATCTGAATTAGGAATGCAAATCTCATGGTTTGGCCTTCAAAACAAATTAGACACAGCGGTTTGGAATGAAACTTTTTCTCAAGGCTGCGGGTACGGTCGCGGTTCTCCCAAAAACCATCTATCATCCAAACCACATACTAAAAAAGGAAGGATGCACGGGCTGTTTTGAAATTCTTTTGACTTTCATTTTTCAACAAACTGAAAACAAGCAAGCAAATCATTCTATACTGTTTATATTTTCTCGTTATTTTTGAGAAAACTGCTGCACACAGCAACAGCTTTCGGTTAAGGGGATAAAGCCTATAGTTTTGGATTATCAGGATTTTGGGCCGGCCTCGGCACTGTACCACACGAGACTATAGATGCACCCCGACACTTTGACACCTTTCCTTCTCACTCTGCCCACGTTCAAATTTTTATTTTTTTAAACAAGCCTTGCGGCGCCGTGTCAGATTTGTAGTAAATGCTGCAGCCGCTGAAAAATAGATGGCAGGCCGTAGTTTGAACTTTGAGGTTCATTCCATTTGAAGTGAAATACTTTGATATGCTAGCGTGTCCTACTTGGAGAACAAATTCTTTTTTTCGGGGTGTACTCGGAGTAAAAAAATTGGCCAACTTCTAATTTGCAACCAGTCTCTGAGCCTGTCTGTTGCTTTCCGTTTGGTACAAAACCCACCAGGACATGCTACAAGAGCCCACGTTCGCCCTGCCCTACTGGAACTTTGCCATCGGTGGCAGCACGTGCGACATTTGCACAGATGACCTGATGGGAGCCCGGAGCAGCTTCGACGCCGACTCGCTCAGTCCCAACTCCGTCTTTTCTCAGTGGCGGGTCATCTGCGAGAGCGTGGCCGACTATGACACGCTGGGAACCATCTGCAACAGTAAGGCCGTTGGTCCTCGCCGGCCTTACCGCGAGACTCTATTAGACGTATTATGCGTCTCCTCGCAGGCACCGAGACGTCTCCGATAAGAAGGAACCCGGGAGGTAACGTCAACAGGCCGATGGTCCAGCGTCTCCCGGAACCTCAGGATGTGGCCGACTGTCTGCAAGTCAGCACTTTTGATACGGCGCCGTTCTACTCCACTTCCTCGGAAAGCTTCAGAAACACCATTGAAGGTGAGCC